ACCAGCAAGTGCGTTTGGGTGAACAACGGCAACGGCATTATGAATGGTTGCCAAGTGGTAAAACCGGATTTTATGAATGCATTACAGTGTGCACTGGCAGTGGAGATGAGTAAGTGATCAATGAACACATTTGGGGGTCAATGGTCGCCTCTTCGTCACACCTTATTAAAGTCAGGGATGTGTTGGTGCGGCAAATGTGACAGCCAGACTGAGGAATGGATCCCTATATAGTCTTTGGAACTTCTGGATGTTATCGTACACATTCCGGCTGGAAGCAAATACGATCAGACTCGCAGAGATCACATGGCAAATTGTGTGTTAGCCTCAAGAGCGACCACAAAGCCCTGTCTCATCGTGCTTCGGAAATAGAAACAGCCGGGCCCAGATAACCGAGAGGTATTTCTTCGCATACGGGAAAGGTAAAACAGGAGAAATGATGTTAGAAAACTAATGGCGATGAGAATGAAAAGCCTATAGCCAAGCTGATAATACGATTGGATCGTTTTACTGAGCTCTTCGAAAAGCAATGTAATCGGCAAGATTTGCTAGCCTCTTTGTTGGACGATGATCGCCCTGAACTCCAAACAGTCACCTTGGATCCACTCTATAGCGCAGAAGTCAAACGCGCGATCAGGTTTTTGAAGTTTAATCAACCAGCAGGACCAGATGAACTACGCCCAGGCCTTCTCAACTTCGGGGACCTGCTATTGCAGATGATTTGCACGGCCTATTAGTGAAATTGTGGGATAAGGAGACTGGTCTAACCGACTACAACTCCTCGTTATTGTCTCGAAGAGTGAGGAAAAGTAAAGTAAAGTGCGGTAATCGTACAGCGATCAGTGCAACCTCCACTGACTCTAGATTGGTTGATTTTGTAGTTTTACTCAGAATGCCTGGAGCACGTGAAAGCCAGATTCGTGAAGAGCAATCAGGGTTTCGTTGAAATCAAGGCGGCATTTATCACCTCTTCACTTTGCGCAAGTCACTGGAACACTGCCGTTCACATTAGTGACCCATTCTAGTTGTGGTCTTTAACATCGATAGGCAGATGGGTGCGCACTTTGGGACTGGATACTCAGGATAGATGTGCCCCATGAATATGCAAACATTATCAGAGCGTTGTACGCGGGTAGTGGGGAGCACAGTGTGCGCTTACGGCAAGCTGTCGCCGCCCTTCAATATCTTCAAGTGTGTGCTACTTGAATGTCCGCTATCACCTTTCCATTTTAAGTCAGCCATCGACGAAGCCATTAAAAATGCTTCACTGGAGCTACTTCCAGATGATCGACTTCTTTACTTGGAGCATGTCAATGAGATTTCCCTCATTTGTGACAGCTCAAAAACGCGCCAAGCAGTACTGGATACTTTACCAAAGACTGGCAATCGCTTTGGGCTGTACACTGCACCAGAAAAATGCAAAGCTTTTCTTCAAAATTAGTACGGAACCCCACCCCCCCAGCAGTAAACATCGGTAGGAATCAAGTAAAAGTCGTCCAAAAATTAAACTACCTGGGTAGCTATATCAGCGCCTGTGGAATGGAAAGCGAAGAGACAAACTGCATAGCAAAGGCGCGACATCCCCCTTGCCCAGAAGCGTAGTCTACAATGCAGCCTACCAGTCAACCCCGCAACACAGCTGTGGAAATTGGCCCAGTAGATCAACAGACATAAATAGGCCAATTGCGTTCCATCATCAGTGCCTTGGCACTTTGACTCATGTCTAGTGGGAACACCGCGTGAGCAATCAGCGTGTTCGATGTCATATTGATGAGATTAAGAAGATCGAGTGAACCGCTCGGTACCGTGGTTTCAGCCACAAGCTTCCGATGGCTGGGCTGTTACTCATGTCAATACGAGGAGACTTGCGACGTGTGCCGTTTGTGCGACCGAAGTATGGGTGAGAGGAAAGTGAAGGCTTTTTCTTTGAAATTCGCTTCAATTGGTACCTCCCGACTTCCAGAATGGAGTCCGAAAGACGATGACGTTTAGTGAGGGACACATATTTACTTGGTGAAGAGTCTATCTCATAGGCGTTTGCAGTGTTGGTTACATTGTGCCTTTCCACTCTCCTTTAGCCTCCGCCTCCAATCATGATCTCAATATCGAGGCATAATAAAGAAAACAAAGCACATCACTGCTTATATCTTTGTATATTATTTGGTCTTTTATGCCTTTGATCTTTTTTTCTTTAAAACCGTGTAACTGTATTGTATTGTGGCACAATTACTGAGGCGACTCTCATCTCTATCTAACGTGTGTCGATAATAATGATGAAGCCCATTTCGAGAAATGGGTTGTGTTTAAGGTACCTTCTTTAAGACTGACAAAACATCCTGATCAGAAAGGTAGTAAAGAACACCTTCAGCTGGAAGGTGAATGTGAAGCCCAACTGTGAGTTGCTTGAGGTCAGTCAGAAGCAGTCTTAAATACTTGAGAACACAGCATAAGACAAAGCTTGAAGTACCGTCAAGTAGGGTTAGGTTTGTACCACATTGGCTCAGGGTTGCCTAGTTTGAAGAAGAAAATAGCGAACAGCTGATCAACGGCAGTGATGCACACAATCAGACAACCCGTGGTACTCGTAGCCAATGCCAAACTAACAGGGTCAGCAGCCCACAAACACATTTATCCTAGGGATAGGTTTGAAAAGGTCCGTCGATACCTCCGAAGGGAAGTAAAGAGTGCTATCCAAGAGGTGCTTCATTAAATAGCGGAGATAAGCGCTTATCGCAGCAAGCTAGGGGTGTGTTTTCGCCATAACATGTGCACGTCATAAAATGCAACATACTCGTCTGAAATTGGTACAAACATAGCATACAGAGTAAACAAATAAATCTGTTCCAGCGGCCATTTACGAGGGTCATTCAATAAATAAGGTGAATTTTTCGGTATAAGGACTTCTAATACAGATAGAAGCTTACTTTTTGTTTATTTTTGTTGTTTTACTTCTTTTTCACATGGATGTAATTTCTTTTGCGGCTTGAAAAAAACTTTGAGATTTGTAGCGATTAACAAAGATGGCCGACCAAAAAGCATGCTCCAGAATTGAACAGCGGTCAGTTATCAAGTTTTTGGTTGCTGAAGAGTGCAAACCAGTTGAAATTCATAGGAGAATATCAACTGTGTATGGTGCCACGTGTTTCAGCCGAAAAATTGTCTACAAGTGGGCAAAATTGTTTAAAGAAGGACGGAGTAGTGTTGAGGATGAAGACAGGCCTGGGAGGCCTACAGACGTGAGGTCTCCTGAGGTGATCGAATCAGTCAATGACCTCATTCAGTCGGACAGAAGGGTGACAGTGGATGACATTGCAAGGACTTTGAGCTTATCTGTTAGGGCAGCACACAAAATTGCCCATGGCATCCACTGTCACCCTTCTGTCCGACTGAATGAGGTCATTGACTGATTCGATCACCTCAGGAGACCTCACGTCTGTAGGCCTCCCAGGCCTGTCTTCATCCTCAACACTACTCCGTCCTTCTTTAAACAATTTTGCCCACTTGTAGACATTTTTTCGGCTGAAACATGTGGCACCATACACAGTTGATATTCTCCTATGAATTTCAACTGGTTTGCACTCTTCAGCAACCAAAAACTTGATAACTGACCGCTGTTCAATTCTGGAGCATGCTTTTTGGTCGGCCATCTTTGTTAATCGCTACAAATCTCAAAGTTTTTTTCAAGCCGCAAAAGAAATTACATCCATGTGAAAAAGAAGTAAAACAACAAAAATAAACAAAAAGTAAGCTTCTATCTGTATTAGAAGTCCTTATACCGAAAAATTCACCTTATTTATTGAATGACCCTCGTAGGATAGGCGGAAACGGATGACTGATCAATTCCATATAACAGCGGAAAATGAAAAAGATACCCGAAAAGGATAAGGCTCTGTGCAGAGCTTAAAACGTAGAGAGCAAAGATAAAGTATATTGCCCGATCAAACATAGGGTGAACAATTCGTGTAAGTGCACGTCGTGGGAAATTGTAGAAAGAGGTGGAAGCATGCTCCGCCGAAAAAGCAGATACTGCGACGAAAAGGACAAACTCAAGCTGCCTTAACTGCATGGATATATCAGCATTGGAATATGATGAAGGTACTGTGCACAGCACACCGAGCACAGAGATGAATGAGAGAGTAAAGCTTCTGTACGAAGTTGAAACCAGAAAACGCATGAGGACAGCGCATGATAGGAACAATGAGAAAACACAAGCGGACGTATGCAAAAAAAGTGCAAAGCATTTGGAGAAGGAGAAAGGAATGCATCATTGAGTATGATGTACAGTGGATAAGTAATACAACACGACGTGTTTGCTAAGAGAAAGCAGTGTGTGTGCTCCCTGCTACAGTGGTTTGACACGCAGTGACAAAAACGACAGTCTGATGAAATAGCAAAATAACACGTGGAATATATACGGTGACGGAATAAAATGGTCTATGCAACGTCACACCGTAAGTTTAGCGACCATCATTTAACCAACCAGATGCTCCTTAAAGTAAGGATCGGCGGATGCGTGATGTGGGTCATGGATTTGTGATCCACGGGTCCCCTGCTCATGCCCTCTGGTCGATGGGGCATGCAAGGATTAAAAAGTAAGAGGGGTGTCGTCCAGTCTGTGAGCAGAAACAAGCAGCACAAATTAAGAATTCACAACATGGCAAGGGAACGGAATAGCCGATACCAATCTTGACGAATCACGGCCGACTGGATCAAGAAGGCTATACAAGCAGTAAGCAAAGCAGATGACTGTATTGTGTCGAGGTGCAGAATGCAAGACGAACCCCGCTGCGAAATTCATGTGGATTTTAGTGGGAAAATCGGAGCAAAAATGCTTGAGGCAACGAGGCGAGACACCGCTTACCGAAACGGATCCTATCATGTGTAGAGATAACATTAAAAATATTCGTGGTAGGAAAGTTGGTATGCATTACGGTTAAATGGTGTGAGTAGTTGCTTGGTGAATAGAACATATCAAACAGAAGATCGCCATACGACGAACTTACTGCAATCCATGGGGTCGTCGCCGTCAGAATCAGGAGGGCTAGCGTCCGCAGACTCGGAGATCTCACTTGTAGGCGTTGACGCACGCACTGAACGCATTCGCGTGAAACAGGAAAAACATGATCAACGGTAGTCAAAATTGTTGAAATCCAGCAGACAAGCGAAAAGACATGAACGAAAGAAACGATAACACGGGAAACAAGAAGCCAAAAAGAAGCGTCAACCAATCCACGTGAATAGACGAACGCATAAACTGAGACGGTAAAGGCGTTTACCCGACTGACTGTAAAAATTAACGGATAAGCGAAAAGCGGTGAACAAAGAGCTTAAAAAACGAAGACACGGAAAACTATGCACAGCACGCACAGCAGCATGAAGATGAAGTAAGTGATAGATGAGAGGACACAACTTTCGGGATAACTGTGCAAAAAATTTACATATGAGCAACAACGTTAAGATCACAGCAATTTCGGTCGATGGTTTCACGGTGTGTAACGCCATGCATGAAATCATGAAGGCAGTTGTAGCCAAAAATGATACGAGTACTGAAGATGACGAGTGGCTGAAAAAGAGATTCAATAGCATATGAAGCCACAGTGCCACTAAAACAGATGACGCATATACATCCCAACTTACAAGCATCAGGCAAAAAGTAACCACGTAAATGTTATTCGGCCGCCATGGCACCGTAGACCGGGGTCGATCATATTTGTGGTTACAGACGGCATTCGATATCATGCAAGGACCAGTGAGGTGTCTATACCTAGCGACTAACTAATAGCCGCTGGTTCTTCTAACCAACGATTCAAGTGTCAAACATCACTACGGCGAGTTCAGGAGAGGGAAAATTGGTAGAGAATAGCAGAGGAGTCCATGCGGTTCCCTGCTGTTATTCAGTGGCTAAAACTGCTTCAAGATAAGCGAATACTCATGGGATCGAATCTCGCAAGAACAGTGGGAGATAAGCTATGCGGACGAGTCCCACCAGACCGAAACGACTAACAAGAACATTTGCGGATGCGACCAGCCACATCACTGAATCTGCCCAGTAGTGCTCTCTTCAGCTCTCCCATTTCACAGTGGTAGTGAGACTGTGTCAAGGTAGAGACACCAAGTAGAACAATAGGAGTCAACGCACTTCATTGTTCGAGGTGGCGACAGAATTAGCTACATTGGTACGTGACTGAGTGGCGCAGATGTAAGATAAGTGGAACCTGGATCGCCTGAGAACAGCCCGGGAAAGCTCGTGACTCACACATGTGTGGATCACAAAGTTTGCAACTATCGGCTATCAGAATATCCGGGGAATAAAGGATAAATAGCGTGAACCAAACACGGGAATGTTGTGACGTTGCAAAAGGTACCAATGCCGGATATCAATTTGTACTTGTCAGGAAAAAGTGACAAAGTTCGCTGCGCAAAAACGATCCATATTGCTATGTATGACCTGTGAAGGTAGCGCGAAGGCGGCAACCGGGAGCAATGGAGGTCAAATCCGCCGAATCGCTTGATTAATCTGATAAACACAATTAATGTGGTATCAGTTGGTGAAACGGAATTGGTCTCAGAGAGAAAGACATGTTGCCTGTGAAATAAAGACTATAGCTCATCGGGTAGACTAAACACATCCAAGCGCAGGGAATTCGTCAAAGCGAACAAGCAGACAGACGAAATACACCCGGAGAAACAATGGGCAGTCGCTTCAACCAGTGGGAATTGAGTAGTCTCGTACCCAAACTCAGAGCACGAGAGATTCGGGTTGGTGATCTTGTGCAACCACTGAGAATAGGCAAACGGCTGCTGGAAGAAGGAAAGGAGTATCCATCGAGATTGGTTTGTGTTACTTGTGGACAAGCGACGCCCCAAGTTCACGCAAGCGACCACGTGAATAAATAGAGACCAGGTACACCCATCGGAAGGTACTCTCAGACCTAGACCACGGTCACTTAAAGCCCACAATTCGCCGAAACCGCAACCGCTGATTGACCGTAAAATCAGCTGGTGGGTGCAGTGAGCTTCGTAAGCTCGACTCGTTAGAGTAAGGGGAGAGAATCAATTAAGCAGCGTTGCGCATGTCTAACGCATTTGAATGGGTACTGGTAACTGATGAATGACCGAACACGGATAGTCCACGAAACCGGCCGGAGCTCATGTTGGTGAGAATCTACGACAATACGAAGATGCCAAATATTAACTGATACTGAACTGGTTTCGAGGTTCGGAATACTAAACAAGTGGCTGAACTGCGATGTGTACTCTCAGTTCAGCAAGGGGAAAACTTTGACTGACACTGAGACTATGCTCAAAGTGGATATTTTAGATTATGTCCGCTCCGGAAACCGCTTACTCGCAAAATCCACGCAGACTGTAAAGCCCGAGCGTCAAATAGTGAAGACAATCACCTCTGGTAAAGCCTGAGTACCAGTTCAGGGTATTGCTGTATGAAGATCTCACATAAGAACAAAGGCGATTGTAGATGGTAGAGAGTGGGGGGTATGAGTAACACTAAAGATACCTCCAGTTCGGATGCCCCAAGGGATCTAGCTCAAAGTAAATTGTAGTTCAAATTAAGGAAAGATATCAGAAGTTCATCTGTACTATGTACAGAAGCCTCCCCGCCAATGAAACCACAAGAGGTTATTTGCGGGTTGGGATATTGCAGCGGCGCTGAAGGCCATGTAGAAGAGGGGACTTGAAATTGGGACACAGACGATACAAGTCAAACGGTTGGACCACTCAGCATGAAAGCAAACAGCGGCTACGTGCCGCAATCCAACCACAAGACAGCCAGTTAAAACACAACGATCCATTTCTCACCGCTGCGCTACACATTTATAGCCTAACCTAGTGGGTCGATGATCAAGATGTCAGTCATAAATCGCTACGTCCATTGTTCTGATCTCCGTTAAGGTTACTATTAGGCTAAAAGTCATAACGGAGATGAAACTGACCGCCGAATGCAGCGTTGAGGGCTAGCAATACATGAGGTAGTATTCATACAAATTTACCGAAATGGTAGTAGTTCGAGCACTTGGTTGGCATTATATATACTGACAGATTTTCATATAAATACTGATTTCAACTCGGATGAGAGAAATGGAAGCGAAGCAACGAAATACAATGACTGTGTTTAACTGTTGTTATTCAGATGAGGGTTGAAGACGAGCATCGCCAATCTTGTCCACCCCGTTTCCGCGCGACGTAATACGCCCACTCCAGATGACACACGAGTGATCGCGTGTGTGATTTTGATTAAACTGCCCTCGATCTGTCATGGTATTCAAGTACGAAAAACCGAGGGAAGGCGAAGAAAGACTTCTGGCAATTAACTCTGACCACGCGGGAAGCACACAACGATACAACACGGGGTGGATGACCACAGTCTAGAGGAAGTGTCTGGACTCTATGATGGGTACGAACGTATATACCCGTTCGATTACAAACGAGAGAGCCTACTAAAGCTAACAGAGTGACTCATTTGGTGGCAAAGCGTCCAGAGAGGCTCATTATTGCAGATAATGGCGTAAAAGAGCGTGTGCCTGCCTCTAAGGTCATATACACATGCGGCAGTGTGCGCAGGGAATACGACTAGGGAGCGCGTGGATTAAAATGATGGCAATCAATGAAGTGCGCAGGACGGAGAATGATCAACAGAGTCAGACACACATCCACATAAACGTAGATACGCACGCACGCACATACGAAAAAAGGGGATACGGAAAACGCAGCTGCCAATCTCGACCAAACGAGATGGGTGATGGCAATTGTGGTGGGGCAACGGTGGTGGAAGTGCGGCAGCAGCAGCAGCAGCGGCGGTGGCGATAGCGACAGTAGCGTAAAACAGTAGCCAACACACGTGCACAAACAAACACGACTCAAATTTGAGGAACACACACTGAACAGCAGGATAGAAACAAGGCACATCACATGTACACGAATGTGAAAGTGAGAATTCATAGTAGGGAAAAGAGTTTGAACACCCCGGTGTACCGTTGGGAAGCGCATGAGAAGCGCCGGACGTCGAATGACCGATGCGCAGGAACTTCAAGGCCAGTCTCCGTTTTAATTCGCTCTCTGCGGTTTTACGGCTTTCAATTAGACCGAGGACTGCTTGCTTAGTGACTGTGCCAGCGGGGAGGGGGAAGAAAACCATACTTGATATTATGGGGCAACACACTGCCAAGACAGTCAACAACCGACAGAGAGATTATGCAAAATAACAGCGTGTGTGAGGACGCGTAAAGTCAATGCGAACATGAAGATAACCATAACAACGGAGAGGTGAGATCAAGTGTCGGATGATGTGGATGACATAAAGCGGTCACGTTCAAAGCAGTGATAGTTAGCGAATAATAGCGACGTGCGTGCCACAAGAGGATAGATCGTCTGCCTCCATTAAAGGGCATGAAATGGCAGAATCAGCTGAGTTAATTGCAAGAATTCGACGGCACTGCGCTCACTCCAACTACATGCATGCTCCTTGTGACGTCACCATTTGACAACGTAGAAGCAGCATTCGCTCGTGCCCGGTGTGTCAAAAGCAACAGATGCCGTCAATAAGAAAAGGATCAACAGAAGCAGATAGATTCAGATCGATTTGACAATATAGTCTGGTGACATCGCATCGGTTTATCACCAAACGCCAATTGCCGACAAAAAACACCTACCGTAGCCGAAGGTGCGGTACACGCGGTCAGGTATTGACCTAGGTGAATGAGTTTCCCTAGTGCCATATAAACGCACACGCGACTTATGTGCGTTAGTCGCATTAAGAACTTGTGCACCATAGTTTCAGGACCCTATCATAAATAACTGTGAAAATCGAAATCTTCTACGCTATCGGCGAGAAAATAAGCAAGAAATGAGAGCAGCCTGTTTGGCGAAATCGACAATCCAGATGGACCACAGTCCCGCGTGAGGAGAGAGCGAAGCAGCGCACAAGCGAACATTAGGGTATGAAGTGTGTTTTTAATGCAAGCGATTTGGTGCTAGAAATCCGCTGCTGAATTTAGTTATTCAACCGTGAACCAAGTAAACAATGCTTCGTTGGCGCCGTAGTAATTACACGTATCAGTATACGCTGTACAAA